CCCCCTCTTTCTCCCTCTTTCTTTAAAAAAAAAAAGTTTGTTTTTATTTCCCCCCCACACACACACCCTTTTTTCCCCATTTTTACAAGACTGGGGATCTAAACCACAGCCTTGTACATGCTAGGCAAGTTCACTGTCACTGAGTTAGATCCCGTCCAGTTAGATCCCCTCCACTTTCAGTGAAGGAACCTGGTTGACACTAAATCAAAGTTAACATCACCTAAAAAAGGATATATTGACATCTCATGGCTCTGCTAAGATATATCACTACTAGGATATGCCAAGAGAAAATGCATAACCCATCCATATTGAATTATGAGAAAACACAGAAACCCAAGTTGAGGGATACAATAGTAAAATAACTGGCATGTATTCACAAAAATTTTCAAAGCCATAAAAACAAGATGGATGAACTGTTCCTCAGTGTTGTTTTAAAGAAAATTAAAAAGACCAAACAATCGAATTAAACTCATAATCTGCAATTTTCTTTTCCTTTAAGGTATATTATCTGAATAATAGATAAAATCTAAATAAGGTCTGTAAATTGGCTAACAGTATCACATCAATGTTAAAATCCAGATTTTCATAAATGTACTGTGAATATATAAAGAACATCCTTATTTTTAAAGGTTAAGTAGAATTATGCCTATTATTTACTCTCAGAGAATTCAGAAAAAAGGGGAAATGTGTATACACACATGTATATACATATGTATATACATACATAAATATGGAGGGTACATAGAAAAAAAACAAATGATAAAGCAAATGAAGTAAAGTAACATTTGAAACAGATGAAAGATGTTCATTAACATGCTAGTCCCACATTTCTAAGTCTAAAATATAGTCAATTCTTAAAAAAAATTATCAAAAATTAGGCAATGTCGAAATAAAGGATAGAATAGAATTCACCATTCTACACAACTATTTTAGATGATAAAAGCCAGAATACTGGTTACTGTATTTGGGGTTGAGTGCTGACTAGAAAGGGACACAGGGAACTTTCCGAGGCACTACTGTCCTATATCTTGAACTGGGTGGTGTACACATGTCAGCATTCATCAAGATGTGCTTAAGATTTGTACACTTTACTCTGTATTAACAACAATACATAAAAATTTAAAGACTGCTTATTCCAAATCATTAAAAGTAGATCATCGGAGCCGGGTACAGTGGCACACACCTGTAATCCCAGTGGCTTGGCAGGCTGAGGCAGGAGGATCACAAGTTCAAAGCCAGCCTCAGCAACTTAGCAAGGTCCTAAACAACCTAGCGAGATCCTGTCTCTGAATAAAATATAAAAAAGGGGTGGGATATAAGTGCCCCTGGGTTCAATCTCCATTACAGACATTACAGACAGACAGTGGATGATCAGATATTATGGACCTCTTGTTGGGATGCAACAGAAAAGACCATTTAAGAAGTAAATTTAGGGGCTGGGGATGTGGCTCAAGTGGTAGTGTGCTCGCCTGGCATGCGTGCGGCCCGGGTTCGATCCTCAGCACCACATGCAAACAAAGATGTTGTGTTCGCCGAAAACTAAAAATATTTAAAAAATTCTCTCTCTCTCTCTTTAAAAAAAAAAAGTTTTTTAAAGTAACTAAACACCATAAACATCACAAGGAAACAACAGGGTTCACAATATGGGAAATTCTATAGGACAGAGAAACTAGCTTTGTTAATAAATAAATGGTATTTAAAATAAAAAGGAGTCTATTAAAATTTAAAAAGACTAGAGGCTGTGGCTATGGCTCAGGGGCGGACTGCTTGCCTAGCACATGTGAGGCACTGGGTTCAATCCTTAGCATGCTTAAAAATAAACAAGATAAAGGTATGAGGTCCATCTACAAGTACAAAAAAAAATTTTTTTTAAATATTAGAAGAGACTAAAAAGACCAAAACAAGAACAAAAATATGCAATGTATAGATTCTGTTGAGATGCTGATTTGAGCAAATTAATTGTAAAAAAAAATTTTTTTTAAATATATTTATTTTATTTTTATGTGATGCTTAGGATTGAACCCAGGGCCTCACACATGCTAGGCGAGTGCTCTACCTCTGAGCCACAACCCCAGCCCGCCCCCCCAACCCAAAAATTTTTAAATACATGGCAACGTATAAACCTGGACTGGGTATAATATCAAGAAACATTACTAGGTAAAATGGCATTGTGGAGTGTGTTATTAAAATCCTTGATATTTATACTAAAGTATTTAGGATTGAAGTAATGTTATTTCAGTGCCCCTGAAAGCTTAAACAATTTCTATTTAATAAGATAGTAAGTATTGTATAAGAAAATACAATAAATCAAAAACCAAAATAACCCCTATAAACTAGCTTTCTTGAATCTAGAAATCAAAGAAATAGAAGAGACTCAAGGTACAAGATTCTATAGGCAGTACTGCCCCAATAAAACTTCAAAAGAAACTTTGGAATTTTTTCCTCTTCTTTTTTTCAGTACTACGCTTGTGCAGGATGTTTATATATATATATAATTTACATATATATTATATACATATATATTATGTATAAATTACATATATATGTGTATATGTATATATATTTTAGTTGTTGACCTACTTTTATTTTATTTATTTATATGCAGTGCTGAGAATCAAACCAGTGCCTCACACATGCCAGGCAAGTGCTCTACCAATGAGCCACAGCCCCACCCTTGTTTCTTTTTAACAGGGAGTGTGCTAAATTACTATTACAAGTTCCATTCAAATTTAAAATGCCAAGGCCTTCGATCATGCTCTTGCCTATAATCCCTGAGACTTGGGATGCTAAGGCAGGAGGATCATGAGTTTGAGGCTAGCCACAGCAACTTAGTGAGACCCTATTTCAAAAAATAATAATAAAAAGTGCTGGGGATGTAAGTCAGTGGTAAAGTGCCCCTGGTTTCAATCCCCAGTACCAAAAGCAAAACAGTATTATCCAACATACTCACCACAAAAATTTTCTTAATCATCTCTCACATGTTCTTTAGACATCTTTCCCCAATCTATTCAAGGTTCATACACTGAATTGGTCAATGCAGAACACTCTCCCCTCAATTCTCCTCCACCTGCCACCACTTCACTAATTCTTCAGAACATTCACTCCTTAAAGGAGTCCTGTTCAGTTGTCCCTTCATATAACACCCCACATTGGAGATGGGTCTATTTCCTGAGTGTTAGATTCAGATCAAAGACTTCTAACATCACCATTACACAGCTCTCGTGTGACCCTCCCACTGTAACACACAAGGAAGAGCATGATGTTGGGCCATCTCACTACTAGACATGTAAGGCTCAACACCACTGAGTAAATGTGACTTACGGATCACATTATTTTTCACAGAATATTTTTCTCTTTGTAATTAATAAATAATATGTGGAGTAGTAATTTGATAGTACTTGAATATTTTTATTCCCAACAGTCTTCCTCTTAATGATTTCAGATTCTTTGGTGATCTCTGCCTAATTCAATTATTACACTGATGATTACAAAATAATGATTGTAAAATTCCCTTATTCCTTCCACATATATTAACTGGCATTTATCTGTAAAAAGAGCTTTTGGTTTTTTCCTTGTCTTGCATTTTTCACTGTTATTATGCCTGTTATCTTCAATATTCTTTTTGATTCTCAAATGGTTTTAAATTTGGTCTCTTGGAGGCTCTCCTGCTTCTATGCCTTCTAACATCAATGTATTACCATTTGAGTACATCCTTACTCACTGGTGTCAGGCACTTCTCCAAGCAGCTATAGTCTTTTACTGAGCAATGGTATTTAGGGCCCCAAATTTGATGCTCAGTGTACTTACTGCTACCAGGATGCTGTTTTAACATATTAACATGTTGCTTTCAATATCCTGCCTACCATGCACATCACTTTTTTTTTTTTTTAACTAGGACTTTGGAAAGTATCACAGGGACTACAGTTACTTCCAAGCCTGTGACTTTAGGATTCATTATATGCAGATTCATTTCTCTTTGATTCCTCACTTTCTGCTTTTAATAACTCTAAGACTTATGAAATAAATAATACAAAATCACAACAGTATATGGCCAGAGGTGTTGCTCCTAGCAGAGCATATGCCTAGCAGGTACAGGCCCTCAGCTTGATCCCCAGCACTGGTTTAAAAAAAAGAAAAAGAAAGATCACCACTGCTTGTCTATACAATACAATTAATACTATCATATCCTACTACCATTCTGGTTTAGCAAACACCAAAGGACACTGTTTGCTTACTATTTGCATATGAACATATACAGACATAAATTCAGATGCACTATGTGACTATATACACACATAAATACGTTTTGCTTATTAAAAGTCATAGGTTATTCAAACTGTGCATGATTACAAATGTATCCTTTTTAGGAAGATGCTATGACATGGATGGACGTTAAAGATATTATACAAGTGAAATAAGCCAGTCATAAAAAGACAAGGGGCTGGGGCTGGGGCTCAGTGGTAGAGCACTTGCCTAGCATGTGTGAGGCACTGGGTTCGATTCTCAGCACTGCATATCAATAAACAAAATAAAGATACATTGACAAATAAAAAAATACTTTAAAAAGACGGGTACTGTATGATTTCACTTATATAAGCACTTATGTGAGTACCAAGAGTATTCAAATTCATTAAGACAAAAAATAGAATGGTGGTTGCCAGAGTCTGGGGGACGAAGAAAATAGGGAGAATGGTAAAATGAGGAATTGTTTTTGAGTGGGCACAGAGTTTTCATTTTGCAAGATAACAAATATTCTGGATATCAGTTGCACAACAACATCAATATACTTAATACTACTTAACACTTAAAAAATGGTAAAGATCAATTTCATGTTACATGTATTCTACCAATATTTTTAAAAATCTTACTTGTATTTTTTAAAAACCAAAGACAACAAATTTAAAAAATGGGTAAGAGAACAGCATACTACAGGGACACAGCCACATCAATGTTTATAGCAGCACAATTCATAATAGCTAAACTGTGGAACCAACCTAGATGCCCTTCAGTAGATAAATGGATAAAGAAAATGTGATACACACACACACACACACACACACACACACACACACATACAGGAACATTATTCAGCATTAAAAGAGAATAAAATCATGGCATTTGCAGGAAAATGGATAGATTGGAGAATAAAATACTAAGTGAAGTCAGCCAATCCCCAAAAAACCAAATGCCAAATGCTTTCTCTGATTTAAGGACACTGGTGGAGTGGCGGGCAATGGAGGATTAGATGAACTCTAGATAGGGCAAAGGGGAAAAAGGGAGGAGACATGGGGGTAGGAAAGACAATGGAATGAGATGGACATCATTACCCTAAGTACATGTATGAAGACACAAATGGTATGACTCTATTTTGTGTAGAGAGATATGAAAAATTATGCTCTATATGTGTAATATGAATTGTAATATATTCTGCTGTTATATATAACAAGTTAAAATTTTAAAAAATGAAAAAAATGAGTAAGAGATTTGAATAGACTTTTCTCCTAAGATGAGATAAATAGCCAATGATCATATGAAAAGATGGTCAACACCAATCATTAGGGAAATACAAATCAAAATCACAAGATACTGTATCATAGTCAGTAGGATGGACAAAAGAAACAATATAGAAAATAACAATGTGGACAAGGAAGAAAAAATTTGGAACCCTCATACATTGCTGGTGGGATTGCAAAAATGGTATAGCCACTTTGGGAAACAGATGAGTAGTTCCTCAAAATGTTAAAACACAGTTAACATATGACTTAGCAATTTCATTCCTAGGTATGCAACCAAAAGAAATGAAAATATACAATTAGATAAAAACTTGTACATGAATGTCCACAGCAGCATTATTCAGAATGATCAAAACGTGCATCAATGGATAAACAAAATGTGGTATACCTACACAATGGAATATTATTCAGCCATAAAAAAACAAAGTAATGATATATATTACAACATGGATAAATTTGAAAACATTAAGCTAAATATAAAAAGTCAGTCACAAAAGGCTACATATTGTATTATTTCATCTTTATCAAGTGTCCAGAATTGGAAAATGTTCAGAAACAGAAACTACATTAGTGGTTGCCAGGACATGTACAGAGCAGGGGATGAGAAATGACTTCTAATAGGATAGAATTTCTTTCTTTCTTTTTTTTTTTTTTTTTTTTTTTTTTTTTTTTAGGTATAGTTGGACACAATGCCTTTATTTTATTTATTTAATTTTATGTGGTGCTGAGGATTGAACCCAGGGCCTCGCATGTGCTAGGCAAGAGATCTATCGCTGAGCTACAACCCCAGCCCCATCTGCAGCCCTTTTCATTTCTTATTTTGAGACATGGTCTTGCTAAGATACTGAGGCTCACCATGAACTTGCAATCCTCCTGTCTCTGCCTTCTGAGTTGCTGAGGCTATAGGTAGGAGTAACTGCACTCAGCAAAAATCCTAAATTTTTGTGTTGCAAAAATACACTAATTTGGGGCTGAGGCTCTACTCAGTGGTAGAGCGCTTGCCTAGCATGTGTAAGACACTGGATTTGATCCTCAGCACCACATATAAATAAATGAATAAAATAAAGGTCCATGCATCTWAAAAAAAAAAAAATACACTATTTTTTTTAATGGCTTCTGTGTTTTTGTCATGTTTTAAAAAGTCATCGCTATACAATTTTTAGAAATAAATATACTTTTTAATGTATTATTATCAGTTCATAAATGTATATGTAAAATTTATTTAGATAAAATTTAAGAGCTTCTCCAAGGATGGGGGTGTATCTCAGTGGTGGTAGAGGTCCTGGGTTTGATCCCTAGCACTGCAAAAGTTAAAAAAAAAAAAAAGCTTCTCCAACCCAAATAATTGAAGAGAATCAGAAAAGCTATTGTTTTCTCTACCAAAATCCAACAGAGTACTCATTCAAACAACTGACATTTAAAACCCAAGAAAATTCCCAACAGATTAAAAGAGCCATATCACTAAAACAGTTACTTCTCAAGATTACACGGCTTCATAGTTGCTATACTTAACCATTCCGTAGTGATTTTTTCCAAATAAAATGTGAAATACTCAACTTGAGATTTCTAGAACATGCCCACTGTACTATTCAATTACTCTCTCCCTTAATGAACTCATCACTAAATAACCAGTTAAGTTAGTGTGAATGTCATAGATACTAATGAGAGATGCAAAAAACTTAATATGAGAGATTCTACCAAGAAGAGCTCCTTTTAGATATCATGAATAAAATAATATAATAATTACAATAATACAATAATACATAATTCACAGAAGACAAAGTAAATTTAAACATTTTTTAAAAACTTTTTAAAGGGCTGGGGATATGGCTCAAGTGGTAGTGCGCTCGCCTGGCATGCGTGCGGCCTGGTTTCCATCCTCAGCACCACATACAAACAAAGATGTTGTGTCCGCCAAAAACTAAAAAATAAATATTAAAAAAATTCTCTCTTTCTCCTTCTCTCTCTCTCTCTCTCTCTCTAAAAAAAAAAAAAAAACAAAAAAAAAAAACACTTTTTAAAGCTTTTTCCCCTAAGAAAATAATGGCAGAGAAAAATGTGATCCATTTGTAACTAAATGAACAAAGTCAACTTACCATGTGTGGAGCACTGATTGTTGCTTGGAAACCTGCAAAAACAAGAAGAGAACCACTGATACATTCAGTTGTGAAAACATAACCAAATATTTCTTGTAGTTCCTTTTCTAACATCCATACGTTGTTTTTCACAAAAATTCTTTTTTATTTTTAGAATAAGCAAAACAAAACCCAACATTTGTACTGATACATAGCAGTTAAAATCAGAAAATATTATCATGAGAAAAGGCTCATCTAGCAAAAGAGATCACACTATTTCTAAAAGTATTTCTTTTTTAAAAAAAATTTTTTTTAGATGAGTAGACCTTTATTTATTATTTATTTACTTATACATGGTGCTGATAATCGAACCCAGTGCCTCACACATACTAGGCAAGCACTCTACCACTGAGCCACAGCCACAGCCCCCCCAAAAGTTATTTCTAAAAATTATTTCTTTTGTAGATTTTTTTTTTTTTTGGTTGTTGTTTTTGTTTGTTTCTTTCTTTCTTTCTTTTCTTTTTGGTACAGGGGATTGAACCCAGGGGAACTTAACCACTTAGTCACATCCCCAGCCCTTTTTATTTTGAGACAGGGTCTTGCTTAGTTGCTTAGGGCCTCAGTAAGTTGCTGAGACTGTCCTTGAACTTGAGATCCTCCTACCTCAGATTCCTGGGCCACTGGGATTACAGGTATGCACCACAGTGTCCAGCTTCTTTATTGTTTTTTCAGGAAGCTGTGAATTGATAGATTTTATACTTAATTTTTCCTTTAGATTTACTTTTTTGGTGGTGGGGGGTACTGGAGATTGAACTTAGGGGCTCTGGGCTACTGAGCCACAGCCTTATTTTATACTTTATTTAGAGACAGGGTCTCACTGAGTTGTTTAGTGCCTTGCTTTTGCTGAGGCTGGCTTTGAACTTGCGATCCTCAACTCACAAGAACCTAGGATTACAGGCATGTTCCACTGTGCCCCCAGCTAAATTTACCCTTTTTTTAAAAAAAGGACTTCTCTATATAATACATATGCAAAAAAATTTGAAAAACTAAATTATTTCAAATTTAAACCAACTGAAAAATAACTAGGCTAGAGATAAAGCTTAGTGGTAAAGCTCCTGCCTAGGCCTAGTAGGCACAAGGCTCTGGGTCTGATCCCCAGCACTGCAAACAAACAAACAAACAAACAAAAAAATCCTAGATAATCAAAGTAGCTTAAGAGACTAATAAACCATTCCAATTTACTTTCTGTATTATCACCTAATGTTAATTCATATTCATTTTTGGCTCTTAGTTTCTTTTCTTCCAGTGTTACTTTCTCAAAACTTATTTACCTGCTCTGCCTCTGAAGCAATTTTCACTGAGCGGTGGTAGCAGGTGCCTTCGGGGTTCAGAAGCTCCCCAGGATCTTCTTGCTGACTGTCACAGTGCTTCAAAAGAAGACAGAATGGCAGCTGGCCGAGAGAATCCTGAGGCACTTCTAAGCCTCAAAGGCGCCCACTGCCAAGGCTCAGCAGTTCAGCAAAACCTGCTTCAGGAGAAGGAGTTAAATATGGAACTTTCTAAAAACAAACACAAGCCAAAATATTTGGGAAAGTAAAGCAGAAAAGTCACTAATAAATTAATTACACTTATTTTCTTAATTATTGATTTTAAAAATTAAGGCTAATATGAAAGAAAACTCAACATTAATGCCCCTGGAGAAAACAGTACTCAGCTACAACTAAATTTTCATTAAAAGTTTTCTTTTTCATTAAAAAAATCTAAATATTTTTTCATTCTTTATTACCAATATACATTGGGGGAAAAATCAGAAAAAGATATATAATTTCATTAAAATGGATTTATTTGAGATTATGAGAGTTACCGAGTCATAAAACTCAAATTGGCAATATGATTATAAATACATGTGACCCAGTCTTCAAAAATTAGAGTTAAAGAAGGAAAATGTGACATTTTCGGAAACCTAAAGCTTACCTATTGATTGTGGAGAATCCATATATGGGTTACATTTTGCATAGTGCGAGCGGTCTGTAGCCAGCATTACTTCAAATACTTTATCTGTCTTGATGATTCCATTTTCTGAAATGAATAGGGCAAATATTTTAAGCAAAGAGTGACATCATATGTATTTTAGATTTATTACTCTGGCTGTACTGTAGGACTGAACTAGAGTAACCTGGTCTTTAATAACACCAGTCAGGATGGGGAAAAGTAGAAGGTGGTGGTGAGAGTGGAGGTAATGGTAGAGATAAAGTCATCCAATGATTTAAGAAACTCTGAAGAAGAATCAGAGTTGAGGAGAAAAAGGAAAAGATAGGGAAATAATTCAGTTAGGGGCTAAGGTTATACAAAGTGAAAGTATTCAGCAACGGGCTGGGCACATGGATCTGGAGCTCAGGAAAGAGATCTAGGATAGAGGTATAAGTTTCTGTTTAGATAGATGGCAACTGAAGTAATGAAAGTGAAGTTAAAGTAGCCAGGGAAGAATACATACAGAAGAAAAATGAAAGCCAACACTTGAGATATGAAAGCAAATGGAAAGGAACCACAACAGAGGCAGGATAAAAACCTGGCTGATATTGCTGTGGAGTCCAAAAGCAGTAAAATTTTCAAGAATATAAAATATATATATCTCATCTGGCTTCCCCAACATTTAGTTCTTTGAGATTTAATAAATGTTAAACTTCAATAATCCTCATGGTACCATGCAAATAACTAATGCTCTCATTGACTTTTTCAATATGCTAGCTGACAATGACATATCAGACACAACACAACATGCTCATAGTATGATTATAATAAATAAGATAGCCTAGTTCCTGTCATCACAGATTTAAAATCTGTTAATTAACAAATGAACATGACTTTAACAATTCAAAAATGAATGAAAAAAATCAATCAAAACATGCTTTGATTAGTTTGACTACATTATGAATGACTGTTTTATATGAGACTTCTTCAGGAAAAGAATCATGGGAAGTCTAAAATGCTATACAAACTAACACAACTTATTCATCAATTACGGCACTTTCAATCTCGAAGGTAATAGCAGCCACCAGAATCTGAACTTCTCCACAGAAGTTGCTCAAAATACCTAAACATAGATCAAGGAGGAGCTCAAACAAAACCACACAGGATCTACACCATCACATTACTAAGAGACAGAATATCCAGACTTTAAATTATCTATAAATAGAATAAAAAGTGCTCTTGCTACAGTTGAACACCTGTGATCACAGACAGCAAAAATGGGGATTCAAGTTTAAGTTTCTAAGAGCCTGGTACAGAGACACACTCCTACAACTCTAGCTACTCTGGAGGCTGAGATAGAAGGATCACAAATGTGAAGCCAGGCTTGGTAACTCAGTGAGTCTCAAAATAGAAAATAAAAAAGGATGGGGATATACTCAGTGAAGCATCCCTAGGTTCAGGTTCAATCACCAGTAATGGGATGGGGGGAAGTCAGTGGGTCGTGGTTCAGTGGCAAAGCATTTGCCTAGAGTATGTGAGGCACTAGGTTTGATTCTCAGCATTGCATAGGTTAATAAATAAATTAATTTTTAAAAAAGATTATTGTGTTAAAAAAAAGCCAGTGGGTCAATAAAGGGTGTCAAAACTACTCAATAATAAATAATCTTTTTCAACAAATAGTGCTGGGACAAACAAAGAGTCACATGCAAAAAAATGATGTTCAACTTTTTTCTCATACCATATACAAAAATTAATTAAAAATTTATTGAAGACCTAAATATAAGACCTAAACCCATAACACTCATAGAAGAAAATACTGGAGTAAATCTTCACAAACTTAGATTTGGCAATGAATTCTTACACATGGCAACAAAAGCATCAAAATTAAAAATCTGTACTTCAACAGATACTACTCAAGAAAGCAAAAGATCTGCATGCCTGTTATCTCAGCAACTCAGGAGGCTAAGGCAGGAGGTTGCAGGTTTGAGGTCAACATCAGCGACTTAGCAAGGCCCCAAGCACTTAGGAAGACACTGTCTCAAAATTAAAAAGAATATAATAAAAATAAAGGACTGGAGATGTATCTCAGTGGTAAAGCATCCCTGGGTTCAAACCCTAGTACCAAAAAATTAAAAACAAAGAAAGCAAGCAAGTGAAAAGATCACTCATATAGTGGGAAAAAATACTTGTGACTCATATATTTAAGAGGGTGCTTACAGCTAGAACATGTAAGAAACTCTTACAATTCAATATTAAAAGACAAATAACCCAAATTAAGAAACATGCTAAGGATCTAACCAGATATTTCTCTGAAGAAAAAATGCAAAAAGCCAATATGCACATGAAAGCTAGACATCATTAGTGAAAAGAAAATGCAAGTTAAAACCACAATGAGATATCATTTCATATTTACTAGGCTAGCTATAATAAACAGTCAGATAATACACCAGAAGTGGTGGTAGGAACCTGTAGTCCCAGGACTACTTTAGCCCAGGAGTTCAAGGCCAATCTGGACAATATAAGAGGACCCTGTCTCTTAAATAAAATAAAATGTGTTGGCAAGAATGTGATGAAACTGGAACCCTCATGCACTTCTAGTAGGAATATAAAATGGAGCAGTAACTTTGGAAAAACAGCTTCTCAAATTGCTAGACAGTCACCATATGACTCAATAGTTCCACTCCTAGACATACAGAGAAGTGAAAACATATGACCACATGTAAATTTGTACATGAATGGTCCCGGCAACATTATTTAGAAAAAACAAAGCAAAAGGTGAACTAGGGATGTATCTTACTATAAAGTGCTGGCCTAGCATGCATCAGGGCATGAGTTCAATCCTCAGAACCACAAAAAAGAGAATAAGCAGAAGGTGGAAATATTCATCAAAAGATGAATGGCCTCTGGTAAAGGTTGTATAAACTAAGTTCTAAGGATTATAAATTCAAAGCCAGACTGGGCAACTTAGAGAGGCCTTATCTCAAAATAAAATATAGCTAAGTAGTAGAGTGCCCCAGGCTCAATCCCCACTACCAAAAAAAAAAAAAAAGGTTAATTTATGCTACAACATGGTAAACTTTGAAAAAGATTATGCTAAGCGAAATAAGTCAGTTATAAAAGAACATATATGATTCCATTTAATGAAATGTCTACAATCAGCAAATTCATAGAGATCAAAAACATCTGGACATGGTGGTTCATACCTATAATACCAGCTACTCAAGAGGCTAAGGCAAGAAGATCACAAGTACCAGGCCAGTCTGAACAATTCAGTGAGACCCTGTCTTGATTTTTTATGAGGGTGTAGCTCAGTGGAAAAATGCTTGCCTACTATGTGCAAGGCCCTGGGTTTAATCCCCAGTACTAAGGAAAGGAAAAAAAAAGTAACTATTACGTTTCTTAAGAGCAATGAGCATTTTCAGGAAATAAAGCACAAGTCAACAATTAAAAAAAAAAAAAAAAAGCCAGATGCAGTGGCACATGCCTGTAATCCCAGATGCTTGGGAGACTGAAGTAGGAGGATCCCAAGTTCAAAACTAGCCTCAGCAATTCAGTGAGGCCCCAAGTAACACAGTGAGACCCTGTCTCTAAATAAACACAAAAAAGGGATGGGCATGTGATTCATTGATTGTCTCTGGGTTCAATCCCCAGTATCAAAAAATAAAATAAAAATTGATAAAATTCAGTCTGATTAAATCTTTTTTTTTGGTACTGGGATAATGACGATGATGATTGATGATGATGGAGGAGGAGGAGGAGCTTTATTGGGCCATCACTGTGTGTCTTCCAAAATTTCACCACAAGGTTGTTTTTATATATATTTTTTAACCCATGACCCCATGTTTTGAAAGATGCCTAAATCAAAGAAGATTACACTTACTAAGTTTTTAAATCATTTTCCTGTTTTGGGTCATCTAGATATATAGATATATATAACTATTATTCCCCTCAAATGTTTCTATCAAACAATAAAGTAATTTGATGTTTTACTTTGCATGTATAGCCAAATTAGAGGTAATTGTGCAGTATCATTAGGCTTTCAGAAACAGTGACAGCTTGAGAACCACCCATTTGCAATCTGCTTGCAGACCTAGGTTCTGAGGACCCTAATTAAATTGTTATAGTAATGGATAATGGTCCAAATATACAACTGATATAAATGAGTAGTAGGATTCAAAAAGGCACATATAACAGAATCCAAACCATAAACCAAATAATTAAATGTCTGAAAAAAAAACAGTGTGTTCCTAAGGTTTCTCTATCCAACTTGAGAGGCAGTTGAACTTGGTGGTGCACGCCTGTTATCTCAGTGGATAAGCCAAATTTCAGGGGGAAAAAATTAGAAAACTAAAACATGGCAGGGTTTCAAGCAACTGATAAAGTGTTTAAAAAAAAAAAAAAAAGGAAAAGCTGGGCTGGGGATGTGGCTCAAGCGGTAGTGCGCTCCCCTGGCATGCATGCGGCCCGGGTTCCATCCTCAGCACCACATACAAACAATGATGTTGTGTCCGCCGAAAACTAAAAAATAAATAAATAAATAAATATTTAAAAATTCTCTCTCTCCCTCCCTCCATCTCTCTCTCTCTCCAAAAAAAAAAAAAAAAAAAAAAAAGAAAGAAAGAAAGGAAAAGCTTTTGACATTCCTCTTCAATAGCAGAGATATATGTGACATGAGACACAAAGAATGTAGGCTCCACTAGATTTCCTGTGTAAAGGATTATGCTATCTGCAAATAGAGGGGCAGTTTACTTCAAAACCTGTAAGATTACAAGCTCAGCAGTGTTAACAGTCACAAATATTAACAATGGTTACTGCTTCTCAACTTTTTAAAATTACCAAAGTGCAGAATATTTATTTACTGCTCAGAATAAAATATAAATGCTATCAACTTTTGTAAAAGAATTGCTAGTGACCTGGAAAATGAGAGAGGGAGTTCCCTATTGCCCTTAAAAAGTAGAAGGGTTAAGATTAACTCAAGAGTTACACAAGTAGGGCTTAGGATGCTCGGTGGTAGAGTACTTCCAAGCATGCCTAAGACTCTGGGATCAATTTCCAGAAGAAAAAACAAATTCCAAACATAGACACAA